CTTCTACCAGTTTCAATGTGTTTTTTTCTTTAATTCTCTGGTTGTAGGACTTCCATTTAGTCACATTTCAGGTGGTTTCTGAATGATGGTTGGAGTGCCATTTGCCAACCACACCCAAGGATAGACATATTAAGAGAATAAATGTCATTTTGGTACATCAGCATAAAACTGATAAATATTCTATTGATCTGCTCCTAAGACATCTCCAAAATGCCGAGCCTTTAAAACTCCTCAAAATGTGCTCTCCCTTCAGGAAGTATATTCATGCCATTCCCTTCCCCCTCTCCTCCTACCCCATGTAATCCTTCACCTCTAATGGATCCCATGAGACTTGCAACCAAGGGAGCAAAGCTCTCACCCCCCCCACTAAATGCCCAGGCTTTAAAACCCCTGAGAATGAAGGCCCCAGGGTGCAGGCCCATGCCATTCCTTCCCCCATCTACATCCCCCACAGGCACATATCCCCTAACCTCTAAGGGGCCCCTGATATTTTTGTTAGGGTCAATAAATTCTTGTTTGCTTTTCTATATTTTGTCTCTTGATTGAAATCTTTCCCTTTGAAGACAAAAAACAAGGGCTTCTCAGCTTCTCCTCTCACCAGTAACAACTCAGGCTGTATTTTAGTTGTAATTTTGATGTGGTTGTAGTAGGATACAAGTATCAGCATTTACCTTTGCTGCCATCTCGGTTCCTCTATTCTTTTTTTAGTTCTTTAAAATATACTGTTTGGCTGTTAGTTGTGATTTCTCTTGTTTCTTGAGATAGGCTTGTAATGAGATAAATATTCCTCTTATTATTGCTTTCCCTGCATCCCAGAACCTGGGCTGGGGGCCTGGTGTGGGGCTGGGATCACTTGCTCTTCATGGGAGACCTCTTCAGCCATGATATCCTTCCCGATTAAAAACACGCCACACATAAAAAGAAAAAGAAAATCATATTGTCATTCTTATTTGTCTCTATATAGCTGCTGATCTCACTTTTTCTTTTTTTCACCCATCATACAGTAGTATGCTGTTTAATCTCCACATATCTGTGTGGGTTTGTTTTTTTAAAACTTCTTTTTTGCAGTTGATTTCCAATTTCAAAGCATTGTGGTCTGACAATATGCCTGGTATGATTTTAATGTTCTTAAATTTGTTGAGGCTGGTTTTGTGACCCAACATATGGTCTATCCTTGAGAATGTTCCATATACACTGGGAAGGAATGTATAGTCTGATTCTCTGGAATGAAAGGCTCTGTTAATATCAATTATGTCCATTTGGTCTAATGTGTCATTTAAGACGATATTTTGTATTGATTTTCTTTTTGGATGATCTATCTAGAGCTGTTAATGGAGTATTTAGGTCCCCTAATATGATTATTTTTGTCAGTTTCTCACTTTAGTTCTGTTAGTTGTTGCTTTATATTTTTGGTGCTCACTGATTTGGTAATATATATATTAAGTGGTGTTATGTCTTCTTGATGTAGTGTCCCCTTTATCATTATAGAATGTCCATTTTTGTTTTTTGCTACTTTTGTTATCTTAAGATCTTTTTGTCAGACATAAGTATGGCTACATCTGGCTTTCTGTGGATGTTATTTGCTTAGAGAATCATTTTCTACCTTTTCACTTTGAATCTACCCTTGTCTTTGCAGCTTAAATGTGTCTCTTATAGGCATCATATGGTTGGATTATGTTTTTTGATCCAATCTCCTACTCTTGAACTCTCTATTGGTGAATTCAGGCCATTTACATTGAGGGTAATTATTGATGTATGAGGACTTCCTTTTGCCATTTTATCTATTATTTTCTGGTAGCTCTGTGCCTCCATTGGTTCTTTTCCTTTGTGTTTCTATATGATGTTTTTATTTGGTGATATTCCATACTTCTTTCCTCTGTTTCATCTTTTTTTTGAACGATGTGTTTCAGTGGTTTTTTGTGGTTATCTTTAGGTTTATAAAAAAGAAAGTTTAATATATAGAGTAGGACCTACTCAGTAGGTTTTTCTTTTTCTTTTGAATGCATCTGATCTCCTTGCAAATCCAGACCCTTTACTCCTCCCTTTTTATGTTTTTGTTGTCACAAATTACCCTTGTTTAGGCTGTAAGTTTGTTGGTGAACTTACTAGTAGTGTGGTGACCTTCTGTTTTTTTGTTTCAGGTAGAATCACCCCCTTGAGTATTTCCTGCAATGGAGGTCTTCTGGTGATAAATTCCCTCAGCTTCTGTATGTCTGGAAAATATTTTATTTCTCCTTCACATTTAAAATATATCATTGCTGGATACATTATTCTTGGCTAGTAATTTGTCGTCTCCAGTAGTTTTCATATTTGGTCCTACCCTAGTCTGGCTTATAGAGTTTCTGCTGAGAAGTCCAATGATAACCTAATGGGTTTTCCTTTATAGGTCACTTCCTACTTTTCCCTGGATGCTGTGATAATTTTTTCTTTGTCATTAACTTTTGACACTTTTAATACAATGTGCCTTATAGATGGCCTCTTTGGATTGAAGTAACCAGGTGTTCTATTTGCTTCTCGAATTCAAGGATCTAGTTTTTTTCCATATGATCTGGAAGTCCTCATTAACTTGGACTAATAGGTTTCCTTTCCCTTCTTCCTCTCTTCTTCTTCTGGTATGTCCATTATTCCTTTATCACTTTTTGTGATTTAGTTTGATAGAGTTATATTTATTTATTGATTGATTGATTGCTCACACCTCTCTCATCTTCCCTCTGTGTCATTTCTAGAATTCTATCTTCGATATCAGTAATTCTTTCATCCATCTGGTTGGCTCTATTTCTTATGCTTGCAAGTTTATTTCTGACCTCTTTTATGAATTCTTCATATCCAGGGTTTCTGTTTGGTTCTTTTTAAAAATGTCAATCAATTGGTAAAGTACTTGTTTTGTTTGCTAATTTATTTTCTGAGTGCATTAAATTGCCTCTGTATTTTCTCACATTTCATTAAGTATTTTAAGAAATACAATCTTGAATTCTCTGTCATTTATATCACATATTTCCATATGTTCAAACATGCTTACTGGAGATTTTTTATTTTCTTTCTGAGCTTCCTTTTTATCATGGTTATTCATGGTGTTTGATGGGTTCCTTCTCTGTCTAGGCATCTACATATGAGTGACAATTAGATATCAATTATGTCAACTTATGAAGAGTTCTTTCTATTAGATTTCAGTAGATGGTGCTGAATTACAAATTTTTTAGCTCTGTGAAAACCCATAGCTAATGCCCATGGCTGTTGTCAGTGTGACTGCCATATTTGGGTGTGGTCTTGTTTGGGGGTATTTGGCTGCCTTCTTTGTTTTGCTTTCTTGGTAATGGTGACCCTGGACGTCTGCCCAGTGTTCCCCAACTTGGAATAAGTCACAGAGTTTACACTTTGCTGAGGAGAAATAGTGATTCTGTAGAAACAGTTCTTGGGTTTACAGATAACTTGCTCAGCCACTTGGTATAAAAAGCTCTATGGCTTTCTTTCTTCGTCTGGAGTGTCAATCATCCAAAAGCTGTGGCAGAACCCCTTTGCTCTGTCCTTGCCTAGGTCTCTTGGCTCAGTTGCAACTTGTACTGCTCACTCCCACAATAGTTCCCTCCCAGTCTCTCTGCTTCTCCCAGCTGAAGGAAGAATGTGCCACAACTGACTTCCTCCCCTTCTCTGGGATGAGCATTGCTTTGAGCTCCTCACTGCAGGGCTGCATCTATTGCTATTCTAAGCCTTCATCCTTCTTGTCTCACCTGTTTCATCTTAGTTGCCCACCTTTTGATGTTTCAATACATGGATCTCTCAGTGTGTCTGTATGTTGAGCAGGGAATCCTTTGTTGAGTTTTAGCTGTTCAAATTGTTTGAAAATTCAGAGGGAGAGTCCAAGGGAATCTCACATGCTACAATTCCTTTATATCACTCAAACAGTTTTCTTTACGGGATTTATATAAATTTTGGGCAACTCATGCAAAATCAATGTGAAAATATACAAGCACATATTTAACAAATTAACTTGTAATATGATGATTAGAATACGGATGTTGTAATTATAGACACAACATTTAAGGAATTTATTATGAATGGATTAAATATTTTATAGAGAAAAGATTCTCCATCCCAGCATATCTATCTCCCAGTCACATTGATTACATATATGCATAAAAACCACATTTGGGTTATTTTATTGATCAAATTAACTAAATAATTGCTCGATTTATTCATCAATTTATGGTGCATAAATATAGTGAACAACTTAAGAGTTTTATAGCAATATTCATAATTACAGAAATGTTGAAAGCCATAGCAATTACTGTACAAGTATGTAAAATAAATATTTTATTTTTGGTCAAATTTATTATTTCAAACTAAAAACTCTCAACAATATTAAGGAATGGATATTAATAATTCTTAATGTTACTGTGGAAAACCCATTATTGTATCCTATGACAACCAAACCATTTTGTTTTCAGAATTTGACATAAATTCTTAAGGTCTGATATATTGCAGGTATATTAAGTCCATATTGTTTGTCTGTGCAGAAAGGCTAAACATGTACTAATTGCCATATTTGCAAGTTTCATTCCAGAGTTCTTAAATGTTTACTTTTGAGATATCGCCTTCTTACTTAGACAGTAAGATCACTGTCCAGACCTTGGCATGAACTTTATGTCAATGGAAGTGCTTACAATAACAATAAACATTCACCACGCCCCCGGATTTATAATCTTTTTGAATTTTCTAGGAAATCAAACGGAAGCAAATTTTTATTAAGCCTCTACTATATATCTGACAGAGCACAGAGTCCTTTTACTTTCTTCTCTTATTGAACTTTCATTATATTCCATTAATTTTATAAGAAAATATATAAAGATATTATTTAAAGATATGTTTTTAACACCAGGTATTGTGGATGAGCATGCTTTCAGGATAAGTGAGAGATCAAAATTTCAAATGTTATGGATTCAACAAATATGAAAATCTTGGTGCACATATGGAATTTCCTTTTTTGCTTTCTTTTGTGTCAGGAAAGGATCCCAGAGAGTCCTTCTCCTGTTCCCTCTCTGGAAGAGAATCATCGCCCGGGGAGCCAGACCTCCTCCCACCCCAGCAGCAGTATATCCAGCTCTCCCTCTCAGATGGATCACCATTCAGACAGAATGGGTGAGTATTTCACCTGAAGAAAGGATTTTAAATATATTCTTTCAAGAAATCCTTCATTAGGTAATACAGAGGGGGAAAGGAAGCTGGACGGGCTGATGCTGCCTTAGTATAAATGGCTTTTTGAAGTGGGTTTTTTTTTTATTGCTGAAGCAATATGAATAACAAAATGAAACTTAAAATATTGAAAGTTTGTTTTCTGGTAGGGCTTTCATTTACTGTATCACTGGATCTCATGGAAATAATATGATGGTAATTTATAGAGTATTTGTTAGTTCAGTATGTTGGTATTTAACAGCTAGTGTGATACAATATCTTCTTATATTCACAACATCCTTTAAAATTGAAGTTAAAATGTCCTTTAGGCAGTTTATTGTTTCAATGGTTAAAGAGTCAATCAATATATAGTTTGCTACAATTTCAAATTTGGGATCACAAATATTTGATATGCTTTTCCCTAC